CTTGATCCAATCCCTGCGCGCTTTATGAGATACCTATGTGTTTTCTTGGCTAGCACTGGAAGTCTCGCAGCCCTCGCCACAGATAGACGGAGGAGTTCGTTGCAACTGAATTGGGGGATTTTCGACATGCCCAAGATGATGTGGATGACCCAATTTACCTTAGTATGAGAGCCGCCGATATTTCACCAACGCACCGCCAGGTGCCGGAATCGGCCTTCCTAGTCTCGGCTCCTGAACCACAACAGGATGATAAGCGTTATCTTTGGCGCGCTGTTTTCCCGCCTCTATTTCTAATTGCCGCGTGGCTGTATCCCATTCCTCCCGCTCTCAAGCGCAGAGAGGAAGAGGGAGGAGCACGACGGTTGTGAGAGGATCGCGCGCTTTTCCCCTAGTGGTAAATGCGGGGCAGCCATCCAGAATTGGCTAATTAGGTACGATTCGCGAGGGAGGAGGGCTCCCGTTAGAAACGTTGGAGAGTGTTAAGAGCAACCAAGAAATGAATGACGGGTGACCAAGAATTCACCGTAAATACCATGCCGTTTTCTGAATCCTTCCTTCACAAGCGAGACGGAGAAGGATGTAAACCTGGAAGTAGAACGTCTGTGGCGTGCTTCCTCCCGATGATGTGATTTGTCGCCTAACCGCGCGAAAGCCAATGAGCACCAGGATAGTCGCGCAATGAGGAAACTACTGGGGCTCACTCCACGAACGGCTCGCTTCGTGTGCCAGTTTGTTTCTCGACCAGGCAGCACCTTACTTCGCCGTTGACTGCAATTGAAGATCTTGTCCTGAATGACAGCCGAGCTTGTAATTTCGAGAAACATTTGCCTGATGGCCAAAATCCGCAGAGGCGAGGTGCAGCAGTACCTACCTACTACGGGATCCGCAACTTCCTCAACGGGAAGTGGCCAAGGCAGCCGCGCTGGGTGCCGATGCCGGTCAGAAAGCGGAGCCCGGTCGCGGGTCCGAAGTGGGTCTCTCGCATCAGGCCACCCCCTTCCCCTCCGCCCCTGTTCAGCCACACTCAATTGCAACAACGCAAAGAGAACCTTCCTTCTCATCAGCATCACCCAAAAGCAGACATAGCGAGGCCGCAGATTACACGAATTGCGGCAATCTTCTCTCGTTTTGTTTCAGCATGGATTCATTGCAACGGAGTGAACAACTTCCCTTCAATTATTCAGTTACCTCCACGTCCGATAAACACCCCTGCATTATCTCTCACGCCGAGTGGACGATTCGGACTCACGCTCGAAAGAAAGTTTCTGCCTGAACATACCCTAGTCGCCAAGAGGGCCAACCTTGACTTCTGGGCACCCCTCTGTGCCCTGGTTCTGCAAGCAAGGGGGGAAAGCAGAAGGGGACGGGAGGGGGCTTCCAAGGTTGCCGCATGCGCATGCACTCAACTGCTTCTGTGGACCAAAGCTTTCAAGAAACTGACGATGTCACGGCGGCCGACCTAGATGATGAAAGGCAAGAGCCCATCTTGGAGCCGCATGATGTGATAGTCCCCCAAGGTCTTCAGCCTCAGCCCTGGATGCTGGGTGTTGATGATCACCGCTGCATCCAACCAAAGGAGCTGCTGCTATGTACATGCAACTCGACTCAGATCATCATCAGGCAGGACTAGGGGGGGCTTTTGGGGGCACATCGGATTCCTCGGACTCGGTTCTGTTATTGGAAACCCAGGTGCTTAGCAGAAAGGTTTTGAGGAACGGAAAGAAATCCAGCCAATGTGCAACTTCTCAAGTAGAGTAAACCAACACCTACAATGGACCAACGTGCCCTCCGACACTAACAAAACCTTCGCCCCCGTCGGCCGTCTAGATACGGCCGCACCACCTCGGCGGAGGGGAGTCAGTAGCTGGCGATTCTTGTGAAAGAAAGCATTGGAGAGGAGATGTCTTCAAGCGGAGGAAGGAATTCGTTTCAGCATCACTAAAACTCTTTAACGCACTTAAGGTACCATACCGGCATACCTTGGTGATGCTCCCCAGACTCTCGTCTCCGTCAATGACGTCGAGCAGGGCCCTCGTCCCCTGATCCCTGGTGACTAACCCCAATGGGCCGTGCACATGGATCTATTTCGGGAGATCCCCTCGTCGGCGGGTCCCGTTTTTCCGTCGCTGAAATGGAAGGGTACGGGGGTCCTGTCTGCTCCACCCGCTGGGCAGCAGCGCCCTCACAGTGTTTCCTGCCTCTGCCATCATCTGCGTCCCACGTTTCCTGCCCCCAATTGTTTGACACACAAGGCAAGCCCGTCCAGTCAGTCCACCATTGCCTTCGCCATGATTCCTCATCTCTCCCACCTCGTCGTCACACTCCCCAGCTGCTCGCACTCCCGTCCACCGAAGCTCTTAGCATTTGCCGTTTCCATCACCTCACCCCGGACCTTTGCCGCATAGCAGACCAACTGAGTCTTGACGCTTCACCTGCGGGGCGACCAAGCCCACATCAAAGACGGCCTGATCGAAAAGCCCGTCTTAGGCGACCTACCTTTGTCAGGGTCGCCATGTACGTTGGCTTCTGCAACCCCCAAAGCGCTGAAACGGCCCCCCTTCTGGACTTCGTGCATCGGCTGGGTCATCGGGCCACAGCAGCGCCGTACGCAACAGAATCGAAGCACGCACTATTGCACACGACCTGGGCCGAACAACAATCGTCTGTCTCAATGTCGTGGCATCCCGAGCATTCGACGCCTGATGCCGCGGGGCCAACACCAATCTTCCAAGCCGTTATACGTTCCACAGCAGCGCCGCCACAACGCGGGACAGCCACTTGAGATCGGATGAAAGAAGAGTACGACCTGAGGCAAGGCCTGGCTTGGGATGAACCAAAGTCCATCCGCAACGAACGCTGGCCACTCAGGCTGCTTATTTCTGCCGCGAAACGGGTTACGAGAACCCTACTTTCAACGTCCACAGCTTACCTCTCCTACCTCCCTTACCTGAGGTAGGTAGGTGTACCCCGGCCACCCAATCCTCCCAGACACGCCGAAATAGTCCAGTCGGTTTCCAACAACCTAACAGCCTTCAACAAACAAACTTCTCACCAGCGTAGATCTATATCCTTTACGAGGGTCACAGCAACTCGACCGTCGCAACCGCAACCCAACAGCACCACTGCCCCCATCCTTCACGGTACGCCAGCCGTGCCAGCTCAACAACGCACCTGTCGCCTAGTGTCTCCGGCTACTCGGTGGTCCGGCTTTCCCCCTCATACTACATTCCGGCATCTCACCACAGTGCAGTCGTGTAGTGCTCGAGGCACCAAGGTTCTCACCTCATCCCGGGTCGACTTCTTACCCGATACTCCAGACCTCTCACACAAACATATTCGCAAGGGAGCTGAGTCTTCATGCCACCTACTGTCCAAATCGAGAAAGCGCGCGCTCACTCATCCCGCGCCGCCCATCCACGGCTTACGAGAGCACCTCCGCGTCACCTCATACTGCTGCTCTCAGGTCCCCGCTCCTTCCTCCCTTTGAATTCGACGCGGCCAGAGACTATCCCAACGATCTTCGGTCCAATGCGGAAAGCATTTCGAAGTAGAGTAAACCTGCGCATGATCTCGGGGACGAATCAACAAGAGCCCCTCGCATAGTCTTATTAGGACTTTCGTACTCGGTGATATTTCCAATGCAGCATCTCGAAGGATACCTCCGTTCTGAGATTGATGACAACTACAGTTTCACACCTATAGTTCGGGGCCTTTCGACAGTCATACCGGTCAGATGGTGGTCCACCAAAGACAATTCCTCCATCTCCACTGTCTTCGCCTATTGGGGCCGCATTGAGACTCAGGCAGGGTCTTTGCAACTCCTTGACAGCGTAGATCTTTCCCACTCAGTCTTATCAGGCCGAAATCCAAAGTGGCCCCATCTCGCCATCACGGAGAACCCCCGACGTTTCTCGCTGCCTTTGACCATCTCCACCTGGCCCTTGGTACTGAATGATGGCCGACTGCGAGGGCAAGACACTCACAGCACCGAGCATTGTCTGTTTCAAACAAGACTCCAACATGCGAATTGGTTACAGTGCAGTCTGGGGGTGCTAAACAGCGTTACATGGCCCCGTCGAACCCAAGAACAAGGCTTAGGCTTGCCCCCCAAGCCTCTGCTCCCAGCGTTCTGGATCGCATGAAGTTCGCTAATGCTACTGCTGCTGTTGCTACTCTTGTCCACAGTTATTCTCGTCTTGCCAAGGCATCTATACTGCAACACGGACTTGAGTGCTGACCCGATCAACCGGATTGTCGCTATACCCCCACTGCAAGTCACATCAACGCCAGAAGCCTCTGTTGACGCGAGAAATCATCCAAAGATGGAGACGAGCCGCCCATAGAGTAAGGAAGCTTCGATCCTCCGTCGCAAGCGTCCAGAAATGGAGACACATCGCCTTGAAGGGCCCCCCGAATGTGACCCTGAGGCGTGTTGGTTTTTCTCTCCAGGCCGCTGGCCAGCTGGCAAATCCTCCCAGTAGAGGATCACAACAACAAGACTTGTCTTCTTGGCACTTGATTTGCAGATGTGAACCAAGACTAGTCAAAAAACGAAGGAGCCAAGGCCCTCCTTCTCCAGTAGGGATTACCCCCGTAGATCTTTGCAAAGAAACAACAGTCCAGCTATTTTCAGCCATTGACAGTGGCTTGTAAGCGAGCCCCGATTAACAGTACGGATAGCAAGTCCGTAGAGCTGAGCCGATTTGGTGTGGCTGGGGAGATGCGGCTAGTGCCGAGCTGCAGATTGGTCGCTGGGGTGGCCCATGATGGACAACGAGCTAGGATCTGCTGCCCCTTCAACTGAATCCTCTCTACAGCATACCCCTCAAGTGGATGGGAACTATGTGTTATTAAAGCAAGCGATGCTTATAATTCAGTTTACTTGACGCTGTAATCTCTAATAGCCCAGGTGTCGCTATTCTCGATGACCGCTGATGAAAACCATCAATCTCGCCATCATTCAACCTCGACCTGACTTTGCTTTGAATGCCAAGTCAAGTCTACGTTGTAATTGTAGCAATGCCTTCCAAACTGCCGCAAATACCATATTGGTACAGCCAATGGCCGGCGTCAAATCTGCTGATTGTCCAGCCTGACTGCGTGTTTCCCTCCCGGCCAACTCGTACCGCCTCAACTCCACATGGCTTGGTGTATGTAAGTAAGGTCGGCCTCACAATCAGACTGGAACTGTAGAGTTCCTTGTTGCATTTATCGCTGATTGCATACTCCATTTCAATCTTGTCGTCATATGGCGTCCTGGGTGGAAAGTTTACCTTGGGCTGGTCCCAGTCTCGAGATAAAAAGCTGCTCATACTGCTGTGCAGACTGCTGCTTGGGTCGCACTCGCTGGACGAATCATAGCTGCTGGTATCACTACCTTCACTGCCGTAAGGCAGCTCCCGGAGAAATATCTCGTTGTCGTGAACTTCCTCACTGACCATCCCCATGAACCATAAGTAAAGAGGTCTTACTTCCGTTGCCAGCTGGTCGGAAGTATCATCGATCTGCTCGTCAATGGAAAGAGAACCGACGCTAATGAGGCGCGGTTTGCGTTTCGGCGGAGATGCGGCGAAGCGCATGCGCAAGGCGTCGAATATATGACAAATGCCTGCTTCGCTGATGTAGACGTCGCACTTGTCGCCCTCCCCTGCTGAGATCTCCTAAGTCCTGAAGCCCCCAATGCCGTAGACAACTGTGTGTACGGGCTCTCCTTGAAGATCCTCTGGGAACAGGGCTTCAGCTGCAGTTTCTGGGGTCAAGTCTGCTGTGACAACTGTCATGCGGCCAAGGTATTCCGTTTGAAAGTCATCCGCGTCGTCAAACATCTCCAGGAGACTTGCCTTGCACCTGACATCTGAAGCAGTCAACTCTAAGCATCCACAAGAGGGGAGTGTAGGGCATGAGAGCCTTAAGAAAACACGGAATTTGGGCATGCTATGTCGCGTGTAGACTTGAGAGGTATATCCGTCACTTACACACATGGCAGAATATTGACGTATCCCGAAGAGCATGCATCAGACATCTGAACACGGTGTACCCCGTTGCTCCAAAGAAAGCGACGTGATGCATCTTCCGGTGGATATAGAATGGAAAGGACGACTGGATGCTCAGGTGCAAACCGGGGCCGAATTTGATAGGGTGGTGTGGGATGAAGCTGTATCGGACTTGATCGTTGACCGGTCGGCCAAGCACATTGGAATGATGGCTTGCCATTTTCGCGGACGTGAAACACTGCAGCAGAGATCCTGCCGCAGAAAAGCCCCGATCTGAGGATTTGATTCGATGTTGTAAGGGCCCGGTAAACAGTGGCGAAGCTATATAGACCCTGGTTGGTGGTGGACGCAAATAGGTGCGGCGGTGATGAGTTCGAGGCACGGTAGCTACGCGAGGACCGCGAGTGTAAAGAAAATAGCCCACGAGAAGACTTATGGAGCTGGCACCAAAGTTTAGAGACGGATGGCGAGCCATGGCAAAGCGAATTGTGGGTTAAGCATACCCGAAACGGATGGGAAGATGGCGATTGACTGCTGGTGGACGGTGATGTGTTGTTGATACGAAGGAAGAGGCACAGCGGGAAAATCTCCAAGAGGCGCACATTAGGTTCGCTCCCAAGCTGCTGATTGAGTCTTCCAGCGGACGGAAGGATGAAGCCATCGATATCGGTCCGTTGGAAGGAAGGACCCCAGTAAGATACTCAACCTACTGCTCTAGCAGAGCGTGATTGCAAAGTACTTACCTTGGAAAGCATCACCAACAAAGAGGAGAGTTGAAGTTGCGGAAGGATGACTGAGCAGGCGGAACCCCGGATAGAATCTGAGCGGTGATCCAAAACGAGAAGCACCATTCCTCACCAAAGCTATACACCGTGAGGTGGTGCCATGCCAGTCAGGAAGCGCCAGAGTCTCCGTAGCTGTCGAGGGGTGTGGCAGGACTAGTCTGGTCTGACCTCGAAATGGAAAGATCGTCGAAGGCGAAGGAAGCATCACACAGAGCAGGGGAGATACCTGCCCTGTCTCAGGATGTACGCCCTGAATCGAGGTATCTGCACTCCGATGTAAGCGCGGAAGGCTTCTTCTGCGACCATGACCTCGGCGGCGTGGTGGCTTGAGAGAGACACTCGACGCTGGCTGCCTTATGGGTCTGGAGAACGGGTACACGATGTAGGTAGCAAGGTAGCAACGGCGGCCAATGCAGTGCCATGCGGGACGAGTGCGAGAGACACAAAAGCCATAGACGCAGTGTATGCGGTAATTCGATACACAGCACAGGGCTGAGATGACATGCTGCTATGTCGCTTCGGCTTGGCCTGCAGGTGGAATTCCCTCACAGTGGACTGCGTTCAGCAGCGGAAGCGGTGCAATTTCCCACATTGTCACGTTGTGTTTCAGGTCTTGTCGGTATCAACTGATGACCAAGTTGTGGGATTCTAAGCAGAAATTAGTAGTTAACATTGATTGACAGGGGACAGATCACGGAGTTTGGGTGTTCAAAGACCGAATAGAGATGATGGTCGGAGGTGTGGACAGACGAAAAGAGGATGAGGATGTTGATCATGTCAGGATGCCATGTGGATTCGGTCCCGAAGAAGGCAAAACGAAGCAAAACGTGTAAATAGTGAAAACCCAAGAGAATAGCATAGTGGAGAAAATGCGTGCCAGCAGGAGTCGGGAATTCCATTGTGAGTTGGAACTTGAGGTTATTCTGTTGCCTGCTGGGAGCAGCGGGACGGTGCAGGGCACGATGAGACGTTGATGCTGCGAAGATGCACCAACAGGCCCGGCTGTGTTCGCTGCCCGCCTCTCCGCCCCAGAAACCCCCTCAAGGTGCTGGGTGCGGGACACTGTGTCGTTTACTGTGTTCGGGAAGGATTCTGCCTGAGGGGTGAGGAACGAAGGAGTACACCTGGGTGTCGACTTAGTTGGGGCGGAACCTCGGAGCGCGCAAGGGTCGCTTATCGAGCCAATGGAACACAAAGGCCTTCCCCGCTTACTCCGGGTCCACTTATAGCCCCGGTCATCCCAGATCCCGTCCTGACTGCGGCAAGCCACAACACAGCGCCCCAAGAGTCCGTGACTAAGCCGAAGATTCGCCAGTGAAGCAACCAGCTCTGCTTCTCAAATCATCCTCTCACGTTCAGCTTCTCGTATTGTACGGATACGCACGCAGAATGCACGCAGTACCTATTCGCAGCTCAGTCATCATGTCAGACTCGCAGCTATCATCACCCGCTGCATGTCCTCGGCCAAGACGAGACAGCTGAATCAGTAGGCAATCAACACTCAAATGTCTCAACTCGGGGCGGTCAAATCCGTGAGCTTGGGATTCGTTACCACCCGATTGCGAATCAAATGGGAGACCAGTTCCACGAACCCAGACGAGACAAAGACGAGATGGGACGAAAGCTCAATGCAACTTTGACAACCGCAGCGTCTGTAGTGTAAAGAAGAGATCTGCTAGAGCAAGACACAACCGAAAGCCAAGTTTCTTAATTCTACGCGCCATGGATTGTCTCCGCCTCAGTCAGCATTGCTTGAGCACCTGAGCTGTTCGTTCGACCGACCCTCGCCGATCCTATACATACGTCAATCAATCTCCTCAATTGGCGAATCCAATGGTCCTTTGGCATAACTTCCCGTTCCACTTGTGCAAATCGTGCAGATACTTTCAGCGACTTCGCCCTTGTACCTCGTATGTACCGTAGGATGAACCCCTGAAAAGCCACCATCTGACAAGGGAAGGATGGGCGGCATGACATCCACACAGACGCTGCCCCGTCCCAACTCTCCACCTCTCCGAACCTCGTTCAAAGCCATCCCCCGTTTGGGACTTCGTCTTTCTTCAATCACTCGTTGCAGAGGCTGTCCTGTATCATTCAAGGCGCGGCTGTGAGGCGCTCTCCGCGATACACGCTCGTCTATTCGTCAGCCCTATCATCTCCGTCTTGCCGCTAAACATTGGCATCCGCGCTTCTGCGTTCCGTCTTACCCTTGTGTTTGTTGCCTACCCTTTTGCCATGGGTTCGGCCAGCAATGCCTCCGTCAACATGCACCAGACTGCGCCGCGGCTATCGATGCCTCCACTTGCATCATGAGCACCGAAATAGTAGCCTCCGGAGTCACTCGGAGGCTCACAACTGACCGGAACCTGTCTCCGGACAACTTCGGAAATCTTCAACGCGATACTCTGACTGAGGAGCCGAAAGTGCTCCATTGCGCAGAGACGGCCTTGCATACCTCCAATGGCAGGCACCAATATCCAGAGGAGCTCCATGGTCGATAGGGGAGCATCAACATCCTCTCTTCAAACATATAAGCTTGGGTTACAGTTCGTCTCAATCTCTTTTCCTCATCACTCTCAACACATCATCTCTCATAGACTCAGTTCGACTCTTCACTTCATGATCTTCAACCAGCAAAGTATCGCAGAGTTCCAGTTTCAGGGTTCTCTCACCTCAACCATTACCTTTTGATTCAGAGCATCCTACTTGTTCGCGGAAGATTCCATTTCTTCCCTTGTCCCTGAACTCAACTCTCGATACTTGATATCAACTTTTCCCCTTCCTGATAGCTGGCCATTTACCTTCAATCACGAAACACAATCGACAATCATCTTTGTCGACCACTTCCTCAGCAGACCAAAGAATCCAGCCAAGCACACCAAGCTCATCTAAATCTAGCTTTTCCAGCTTCGCAACCGATCAAAATGTCTGCCCGAGTCAACGCCACTGAGAATGACCCCACCGTCATCGTCGGCCTTGCTTGCCGAGTCCCTGGCGCTTCCAACCCCAGCAAGCTCTGGGACCACATTGCCGCTCAGCGAGATGTCCAGCGCAAGATGCCCGAGGACCGCTTCAACGTAGACAACTACTGTGAGTGCCTTGGTCCTCTCTGAACCAATTCACAGAGACTAACACTGTTCGCAGACCACCCTGATGGCACCCGCAAGGGAACCGTGAGTTGATGACTTCATACAAGACGCAACATCTGTAGACTAACGCATTGATTCTAGACGAACGCTCGCTTCGGCTACTTCCTTGAGCAGGATATTGCTGAATTCGACAACTCCTTCTTCGGCATTTCTGGAAAGGAAGCCGATGCCATGGACCCTCAGCAACGTCTGTTGCTCGAGGTCGTCTACGAGGCCTTGGAGAACGCTGGTATTACTCTTCAGGACATTAGCGGCTCTCAGACTTCTGTCTTCTGCGGTAGCTTCACCAACGACTATCTTTCCATGACTGGCAAGGACTTGACGGCGAACTACCCCATGTACCACGCCACTGGTACCGGTAACGCCATTCTGTCCAACAGGATCTCGTACTTCTACAACTTGCACGGAACCTCCATCACTCTTGATACCGCCTGCTCGTCTTCTCTTGTCTGCTTCCATCTCGGGTACGTTCGCGATCGTGTGGCTCTCTCTCGTGCTACAGCTAACATGCTTCCTTCCCTAGCAACCAATCGCTGAAGAATGGCGAGGCTGACATCTCCATCGTTGTTGGCTCTGCTCTCCACTTTGACTCCAACATCTACATCACAATGACGGACCTTGGCATGCTGTCTACAGATGGCCGCTGCCGCGCTTTTGATGCTTCAGGAAGCGGCTACGTCCGTGGTGAGGGAATCTGCGCAGCCATCCTCAAGCGCCAGAGCGCCGCTGAGACTGCTGGCGACAACATTCGCGCCATCGTTAGAGCTACTGGAAGCAACCACGACGGCCGAAAGAACGGTATCACTTTGCCCAACAGTGTTGCCCAGGAGGACCTCATTCGTTCTACCTACGAGCAGGCCGGTCTCAACCCGCTGCACACACAATACTTCGAGGCACACGGTACCGGCACTGCCGCAGGTGACCCGATCGAGACCCGTGCCATCGGAGCAGTCTTCTCCCCCGGCCGCAGCAACCCTTTGTACGTCGGCTCCGTCAAGACCAACATTGGTCACCTTGAGGGTGCCTCAGGTCTTGCAGGCCTGATCAAGACTACTCTTGCGCTTGAGAACGGACAGATCCCCCCTAACATGCACTTCAACAACCCGAACCCGAAGATCATGTTCGATGACTGGAAGATCGCTGTTCCTACCAAGATGACTCCTTGGGAGGTGCCAGAGGGTATTGCCCGAAGAGCCTCAATCAACTCTTTCGGCTATGGTGGTACCAATGGACACGTTGTCTTGGAAGAGTACAAGAAGAACGCTGCCCCCAAGACCCGCTCTGTCACGGCCATCGAGAACGGTGTCCACGCTCGCCCGTACCTCGTTCCGCTTACCTCTCACTCCGCCAAGGCTGGTGAGCTCACCGAGGAGACACTGAAGAAGTACCTTGAGCAGGGAGATGTCAACGTCGCCGACCTTTGCTACAGTCTGGCCACGCGCCGCACTCTTCACGGCCAGCGTTCTTTCGTTGTTGCCAATGATTCAGCATCACTAGCCGAGCAGTTGACCATTGCCCGCCCTGCCGCCAAGTGGACTCTGGCCAACAAGTCTTCCCCCAGACTTGGCTTCATCTTCACCGGCCAGGGTGCCCAGTGGTTTGCCATGGGTCGCCAATTGATCGAGGAGAGCCCCCTGTTCCGCCAGAGCCTGAAGCGCTGCGACAGCATTCTTCAGGCGCTCCCCGACAGGCCCGAGTGGTCCATCCTCGAGGAACTCTGCAAGACCAAGGAGACTACTCTTCTTGGCGAGACTCTCTACTCTCAGACCATCTGCACTGCACTGCAGCTCGCCTTGCTCGAAGTTCTTAAGGCCTGGGGCATCACTCCCTCCGCTGTCGTCGGTCACTCCTCGGGTGAGATGGCCGCTGCCGCTGCTGCCGGTATCTTGACCTTTGAGAACGCCCTCATTGCTGCCTACTACCGCGGTCGCTACATGTCCGCCCCCAATGAGAACGGAAAGCCTGGTGGTATGATGGCTGTCGGCCTCACTGAGGCCAAGGCTCTCGAGGAGCTCAAGCCCTACAAGGGTCGCCTTTGCATCGCCGCTGTCAACTCCCCAAGCACGATGACGATCAGTGGTGACGAGGATGCTATTCTCGAGCTCAAGGACAGCCTTACCGAGAAGAAGGTCTTCGTCCGGCAGCTTATCGTCAAGCAGGCCTTCCACAGCCACCACATGAACGCCTTGGCTGGTGCATACGAGAACGCGCTCAAGAACTGCAAGACCTTCACTACCCAGAAGCCTACTTGCCGCATGTTCTCCAGTGTCACCTCTCGCCTGGCTGACTACGAGTCAATGGGACCCAAGTACTGGGCCACTAACATGACCAACGCTGTCCGCTTCTCTGACGCTCTCACCGGCATTCTTCTCGACGAGGAAGATGAGCAAAATGTTGACGTCCTGATTGAGCTTGGCCCTCACCCTGCCCTGAAGGGCCCTGCTCGCCAGACCACTCAGTCTCTGAAGCTTGACCTGCCTTACATCGGCTCGCTGACTCGTGGTGTTCCCGACTTCGAAGGACTGCTCAACCTTGCCGGTACATTGTTCTCTCTCGGTTACCCTGTCGATCTCATTGCCGCCAACCAGAACTTGAGCCTGGGAGCGGATGGCAGTCTTGTCAAGGTTGACACCGGATCCAAGCTCAACGACCTCCCGACCTACACCTGGGACCACCGCAGATACTGGACCGAAACCCGCTACCTCAAAGAGCACCGTCTTCGCAAGTACCGCCACAGCCTTCTCGGTCACATCATCCCTGGTTCTATCGCCAAGAACCCCAAGTGGAGAAACTACCTGCGTCTGAAGGAGCTTCCCTGGCTCCAGGAGCACGTGGTTGATGGCAAGGTTGTCTTCCCTGGTGCTGGTTACATCAGCATGGCTATTGAGGCTGCTCTTCGTGTTGATGAGGTCGAGAGCGCCAAGATGATCTTTGTCAAGGATATCGTCATCAAGAACGCCCTTCTTCTCCCCGAGACCGATGATGGCGTCGAGATCTTGCTGGAGCTGAA